TATCCTTAGTGTCAAAACATCCGACATGGATCCGGAGGATTTCCAAGAGCTACTGGCTGATGCCTGGGCTAGGACACAAGCTCCCTCCGATGATAAAGAAGGATCCCTTCCTGAAATTTACATTAATGTCTCAGAGGCATTTCCAAATCAATAAAACCCCAAGACGGACTTTGACCTATTGGGATAGCCATATAAAATATCCACTAGTCGATGGAGTCTACCTTGCATAATGAAGCATGCGAAAAATAAAGCCAGTGGCTGGTTAACACTTACAATTGCACTATATACTACATCAGATTACTGCACACAAACTCGACCACCATTTTGAATCAAACACATCAGCTATTATCCGCATCCCCTAATACGCATACCGGAAATGAGGATTCTCCTTATCCGTCAATCCAGCCCACTTAGTCTCATCAACCATACCATCATCAACATGCCCCTTCTGCTCATCACGCCGACGATTGACGAAGAAATAGTAGGCAAACAGCACGACCGAGAGAACGGCAGCAGCAGCCTGAGTCGCCAGAACGGCAATTTTCGCAGGCCGATAATCCGGTGCGTCTTTCACTTGAAATGTCTGCGGGCCGATAATGTTACCGACAGAAAACGAGCCCGCAACAAGAGCACTTGCGAAAGCGCGTTTTGTATGGCCTGCTGTATTTGCCATTGTCCATTGGTAGAGGATTGGGAGGGTGGCGACGATCGCGTTGACGAGGTAGATGCCGATGAGAACGCCTGCTGTGTTGCTTTTCGGGAGGAATGACATTAGTCCGCCGCCGATTATTCCGGGAATTGTGCAGAGGACATTCCAAGCCCAGCGGTTGGAGGTCTTGCGAATTCCGTACCCGACAAGTAGCGTGAAGAAGATGCTAACTATACCCCCGGGTGTGTTCAAGAGGGCGGAGATGGGTCCTGAAAAGCCGAAGCCGGCAACGAGGGTTGCGGAGTAAGTTGTTACCACGCCGCTGGAGACGGAGATGAGGATGGTTGTCAAGGTGATGAGCCACAGTTGGGGATCGATAACAGCTTCGCCGATTTGTTTGATGTTGATCTTTGTGCTCCACACGCCTGTCTGGTTAGAACTGACGTGTTGGAGGAGCGCGACTTTTTCTTCTTCTGACAACCACTTTGCTTTAATTGGGGTGTCGGGAATAAAGAAGAACGTCAATACTCCGACAACGGAGGTTATCAGACCAAGAACAATGAACATGATACGCCATCCTTCCAATTGGGCATGTTCGACATGCTGAAAAGCAAAAGAGATGATACCGCCAAGTATCTGTGCGACTCCTAGTCCCATGTACCAAAAGGTGAAACGAGGTGCCTGCTCGCTACGCGTATAATACTGACTGCTAATCAGCATCAATGAAGGGCCGATCGTGGCCTCGAAGATGCCCAAGAAGATCCGCGCGGCGAGTAAAGTCTTGTAGTCTTTGGCGCCAGCGGAGGCTGCCGCCGCAACGCCCCAGAAAAACACATTTCCTCCGAGCCATTTGGCAGCGGGGACTTTTTTGCAAGAAATAAACTACGTTGGTGTTAGTTTATCTGCAGTGCTCTTCACATTGCGGTGGACGGGATGTGATGTGATATGGTGACATATGCAAAGCAAAGGATGGACTTACCATTCGGTACTTCTGCAATGAGATACGCGATGAAGAACCAGGATGCCGTGTTGGAGAATTCGTTTCCTTTCAGGTTAAGGTGCACTTTGATTCCCATAACAGCCGCATACTAGACAATGTTAGTATGCGATACAATGCGAGTCAATGCGCGACGATCGGATCGTCCAGCAATGGCAGATCCGGGGTGGGACAGATTCGGAATCGCAATCGGACTCGATTCAACTTACATTCAACATGACTTTATCCAGGAACTGCAACACGTAGCAGCAGAACATGTACGGCAATAACCGACGATCGATCTTTCGGCGCAGCGCCGCGAGATCGACATTCGCGTTCGCATGGTGACCCTCGAGGTAGACGACCGCGTCGTCGCGGTCCACTGCTTGAACTGCGGGCTCTTTCTCGCCCATTTTGCCTATACAGCTGCCAAATAGTAGGGGTAGAGTACTGGACCTGGGGGTGCAAAAAGAAATCGGATCAAGCTGGGGTGTGCTGGTTGATGAGAGGAGTGGGATGGCAAAGTTTAAAACAACAGAGTTTCGCAGAGATGCTGCGTACATGTGGCACTTGTACTGGCATGTACTAGGGTAGTATCAGCAAATGTACTCCGTCCTCCGTACATTCTGTCTAATGAGTTAGTGCTGCACTAGCTGGGAGCTCACAAATTAGTCCTATTGGCCTGTGCAACTTGCGTGGAGATGAAGCACTATGAGACACTGGATCCTACGCATCGACCAACGAGATCGGCGAGATTCCCGACACAGGATCGCTAATCTTCGGCTGCACCGGTGGGGTCGACTTTCTCTCGGCTCAAGATCTAGATCGATGGTGTGTTACACGCGAACCAAAACTGTAATTGCTAGGCTTTGTTGAGTGACAATGGTTGGTGGTAGGGGGGTTCGGGCGCAAGGGGCGAAGGTTTTCCCTAGGCCAATGCATCCAGGGCTCCTTTGATTACCCATGCATACATACATGGAACATACAAAGAACTTCTCGCTACAGCGCTAGAGTACCTTCTCGCAGATTTATCGATCCCATTTCCCTCCACGTGGATTATTCTCCTTCATCGATGCCTCGCTAACTGCCATGATGGGATGGGTATACAACGCCACCCCGAGGTCGAGGCTGTGTCGCAGTACCCTGTGGTGCTCGGCGTGTGTCTGGGTCTGACAATATTGATGGTGATCACTGTCTGCTTGCGCCTGTTTATGCGGGCGCAAGCGAGTCGACTTGGAGCGGCGGATTATGTGATGGTTATGAGCATGGTAAGTTCCCGTCTACATAACATTTGGTTTTAGGTGCTGACTGCATTTAGGTGTTTGGTATTATCTACAGTGCTCTCTGTATTTCCCGTGAGATTGTAATTCCTAATCTATGAGTTTCCCACGGGTCTAATGCAAGTAAGCAGAATCACGATATGGACTCGGTCTTCCACTCAAGTTGCGACCAAAGGCTGACCTGGCCACATACACTAAGGTAAACGGATTCCGACACAAGAATACTTGCATTCTCCAGGAAATCAAGCTAACGCAATTATTTACAGATCAACTACGCCGGCCGTCCCTTTTACCAAATTGGCATCGCCGGATTCAAAACTTCCCTCTGCCTCAGCTACTTGCGACTGTTAGAGGGCACTTCGAAAAGCATATATCGGATCGTTATCTGGGTTGTCATTGCGCTCTCAACAGCAGGTCATATTGTGGGAGCTTTAATATTGATCTTCACCTGCAAGCCAGTGTCAAAGGCGTGGATGCCCAACGAACCTGGATCATGTCTACCTGTTGGCGCGACATTTTACGGCCTTGCGATTTTCACGATCATTTGCGATGTTGTCATTATTTTCCTGCCGATTCCACTCCTTCTCCGACTCAATATAAAGCCCGCACAAAAAGCAGGCGTGGTCTGTCTCTTCCTATTGGGGCTGTTCACGACGATCTGTTCCATCCTTCGCCTTACGCAGATCCACCGAGTCGCATTTGGCGACGGAAATTCCACCATGTTGGTGCTTTGGGGGACGATCGAGTTTAATGTGGGGGTATGTTTCTTTCCTGATCTGCTTCCTTTGTTTCATCTTACGATGGGGGGTATACTACTAACGTTTCAAGAATATCGTCACTTGTGTCCCATACCTCGCCCCCCTTCTCAAGGGCTATGTACGCGATTTCCGCTCCAACAGTGGCCGCAAATACTATAACAGTAATGGTCGAAGTTATGCGATGGAAACCTGGACCAAGGATGGACGCTCTCAGCTGCAGTCGCACGCTAGTGCGCCGAAACGTACGCCGAGTGAGGGAATTAATCCTGTCCAGTCATGAGCCTTCGCATGGAGGAATTGAAATGACGGTTGAATACCGGGTGTCCAGGGACACTCTCGCAATTCCTAAGGGCTCTTGATTGGATAACCCTGAAGGATTTGTGTCTAGAAAGTTTGGGCGGAAAGAGTTTGAAATCAATGGTTGTAATGTATATTTGAGTATGGTTTGGATAAAGTAATGTATAAATTGAGATTACGGTAGACAAAATGGGTTGTATTCGTCAGGTCTTCAGGGCTGAGAAGGGTCGTGGCCCCCAACTGAACCAATTTATCCGACATTAGCATCATCATCTCCCGGAATGTTTTCTTTGCTGATACCTGATGGGAAGGAGCGAGATACTTTTTAGTTAAGTTCGAACTAGCCAGGGATGCACGCCACGCCAAACTCAATGCATTCACGCTTCGGGTCGGGCTTCCGGTTGCACCCTTTGGCCCCAGTAGGTGGATCGCACGATCCACAAGTTATATTGGTGTTTCCTAGACATTTGATCCACTTGAGCAGAGCTACTGCACGCCCAGGGAAGACTGTTCCCTTCCGGTGGGGGAATTGTAGCCAGTCTCTCTTCAACGACAAGGATTAAGTTGACGCCGCGCCGCTGATCGTGGGTCGGCGATGGGCGCTCGGCGGAGTCCGGTTGTTAGATCCTTCGACTAGATGTCAAATACCCTATCGGGTGAATGAATTAGGCAAATGGAAACGGATGGGGAATCCTATGCGAAAGACCCTTTTGTCGGAGGAACTTCTGCCTGGCACTTCAATATAGCGTGCTCCGTAGAGATGCATTAGACGCTTCGGAATTCCACATCGGGCCGCGTAGGCGCTCTCGAGCTTCCCCGAATGCATTGCATTGCATGATTCTTTCGTAAAATACAAAGTAATATTATTCGTAATGCATGGTAATGGCACTGGATTAGGCGCTGACGGCGTCTTGCCTCGGAACGCGATTCAACGATGTTTCAGCGTGCCATCGAGCCGCCCCCTTGATTGCATTCCTTGTAGAGCTACTCCGTATTCCGCACTTCGCGCACGTCCAGCTGCAGTACAACAGCTGGGCACAATGACGATCCTTATCGTTGGAGCGGGTATTTCGGGCCTCATCCTCGCCCAACATCTTCAGAGCAAACAAATTCCCTTTGAGATTTTCGACCGCGACTCTGCCCTTGATGCCCGCAATGGTGGCTGGGGGTTGACCCTGCATTGGTCGCTCCCTGCGCTGCGCTCTCTACTGCCCGACGAACTGGTGCGACGATTCCTGAAACATTCGTGAACAAAGATGCAGCCGCGCATGGTGATGTTGGACGATTCCAATTTTTTGATCTCAAGTCGGGCGAGGCGTTGTACAGCGTCGATGCGGAGGAGCGCATCAAGGTCAATCGGAGACGGTTCGAGAATTGTTGACAACGGGGCTGGATGTAAAGGTACTTTGAAATCGGACTGAGACTACGTGGGTAAATCAGATAGGCTGATCAGCGCAGTGGAGTAAAATGCTTGAAACGATTGAATCGACAACGGATGGCGTGACTGCGCAATTCGACAATGGCACCGAATACAATGGCCAGCTTTTGATCGCTTGCGATGGCGCTCGGTCGCGTACGCGACAAATTCTTTATCCTGATGCTGCAATGAATCCTCTACCGGTCCAGCTACTCGGTGCATCCACACTGTACTCTGCGGAGGAGATGAACAGCGTGCAAAAGATCAACCATTACATTTTCCAGGGCTCTCATCCTGATACAGACGTCTTTCTTTTCTTCAGCTGTATGTTCCCGCACTAATATTCTGTGAAGTTTGCTAACCGGATCAATGAACAGTCCTGGATACACCGAGTAACTTCGATGACAGCGGTCGGGATCGATATCATGTCCAGATTATCGTGTCTTGGGCTGACACCAAGGGGATAAATATTCCGTCTCGAAACTCCGATCGTATCGCACTGATGAAGAAGTTGTCGGATAATTGGTCCGAGCCGTTTAAATCACTCGTGCAGAAACTGCCTGTCGATACAGAGGCGCGATCCATTCGCATTGAGGATTGGATGTTCCAACTCGGTCGGGAAACATGCGCACCCTCCGTGTCGCACTGGTGGGGGGACTCCGCGCACACTATGACGATGTGTATGTTTGCCGCAACTTTGGTTATATCTTCGCTTTACTAATTAAATATAGTCAGGGATGAAGGAGCCAATAATGCCATTGTTGATGTTCTGGACTTGGTGAAAAGGGTAGACCTTGAGAAACCGAAATATGACAATCAAGAGAGAGAACTCCCGTATTTTCTGCTCATGGTGCTGACGATTCTAGATCCTTGATGTTGCCAACTCTTTCAGCATCTTTGGCAGCCTACGAAAAAGATATATTTGCCCGCGTGGAGTCCAGCTTCTCAACTCCCGTCAAGCGTGCTTGGATGCGCATGAGTTCTCTAGAATCGAAGGTAGCCCACTTGTGATGGCACGGAATCTCAAAAAGGATTAATTGATGGTGTACACAAATCCAGATGGGAATCCCGTAGAGTGGTGTCCATGTAGAACTTGAAGAAATGCAATCCCTCAACTATACCCGAAGTATACAATAGCACACCCAGGACAAAATGTTATATGATGGTTCTGCTCGCTCTTCTAAATCTATCCGGCATGCCAAGGTTCCGAATACTGACCTGCTAATACTAGTTCGTTCTAGGGGGAAAACCATCAACTTGAATGCTGCACAGTGCATATAGATATTTCAAGATCTCCACGGCTGGTGACACTATTACCTAACCTTGATGCTAAAGGTTATATCTAGGACATTCTTCCTATTTACCAAAAACATATTGAAGTGACACTAGTACTACTAGTAGTATGCTGAAGCCTCTTAATGTATCTTCACTACCAGCTGGGTACTCACCACCATCCATCAACCACTACCTCGGCACCCACCACCCATACTACTATCTACCAACTTGCAACCTTCTCCTCAACTGGAGTTACCAACACGCAAGTCTTTTCTAAACACATCGCCCTCAAGCCAAGCAGATTCTGACTTTGAGTCTGAAGAAATCTCAAAAGTTTAGTCAAGGACTGCAAAGGTCAACAGAGCAAGGAAAGACTCACGCTTGATACCGTTGGACATTCAGCACCTCCCTCTCTACCAAAGCTTTCAAAGCCCACCGAATGTCACAAACAAGGCTTTCACACCGACTCCGACTGAATTCTTCCCGTACAACCGCGCGCATCATACTCATACCTGCATCAGCGGCCATTTTATACGCAGGAACAATCCACCCACGTTCGCGTAGCTTCGCAGATACGGCAAACTCATCAAATGAAATGCCTTGCTCGGGACCAAGTCTGAATGCGACAACCGGAAGACCGTGGCCACCACCTTCGCTCATGATGATGAATCCTAGAGCGGAGAGTTGACTGCTAAGGTAGTCAGCTGTGTCGGTGAGATTGGTCATGATGGCAGTGTACCCTCTCTTTCCGAGACGGATCGTTTGGTAATATTGTGCGATGATGTGCGATGCCGATTTGGAGAAGTTCAAGGTAAAGTTCAGCTGATCAGAGCCTGGGTAGTCGATGTTGAAGATCAGGTCGTCGGGTAGGTGGGAGGATGAGCGCCAGAGAGCCCAGCCTGTGCCCGGGTGTACCTGGACACTGTTCGAGGCTATTATGGAAACGGGTAATGAATTGCATCAAAGGCTGATGTAGATGGGGGATTAGGCTTACGAGTCCGTACTTGTGGCGGAACGTTTATCGAAACCACATTCGACAATGTGAAGTCCCACTCGAGACTTGGATTTACGAATGGAGCGACGAATCCACCACTAGCTGCATCGACATGGATAGGCGTATCCAGACCTCTTTGTACAAGAAGGTCGTTTATACCCTTGACATCCTCGTATTGTCCCGTGTATGTCGTTCCCAGAATGGCGCAGATTCCGATCGTGTTCTCGTCGACGAGCTCCACTGCTTGAACCGGATACGATAACATAAGGCGCTTCTTGACGTGCAGGGAACGAGCTTCTTTTCGATCTCAAAGTACCGTGCTGCCTTTTCCCAACAAACCTGTACACCACTGCTCATGATCAGGTTTGGACATGAAGTATCTTGCTCGGCAGCTTTTCTAGCATTCTGTCAGCGTTTCTTCATAGCCAGGACAGCTAGCGTTATCGCTTCCGATGATCCGATACAGGCAGTTCCTATGGCCATATTTTCATTGTTTCCTGTCGGAGCGTGGAAGAGGTTGGCTGGAATGTTGATGCAGCAATGTTCGGTATCGACCGATTTGGGGTATTCTTCTTGGTCGACAACATTCTTGTTGGAGGATTCTGCGATTAGTTTTTCCGCTTCCTCCTCCTGTGAGCTGTCGGGAAATTGATCAAGAAGAAAAGGGAAAGCCGTCGTAAATATTCGTACCATGTAAGTTGTCACAAAACTGGCGAGGCTTTATTTACTTATTACCTTTGTGTTAACCATTGGAAGTGGTCGCATACCAAGGTTGAATACTTTAACATGGGGTGTCCGTCAAGGATCAGGTCATGTTTGATGTTCGATAGGCAACCTCCTTTTGACATTTCCTCCTCCGGAAAAAATTGCGCCGGCATATGTTGTGATGCAAATCGCGATCATAGACGTTTGGACGTCCTGAGCGAGCCGCAAAGAATGTTTGGAAAATATCCACATGATGAACCTGATGATTGATT